CTTACCTACCAAGGTCGTTTCGAAGCGTCGGCTGAGATATGGCTTTTGAGCCAAATTCTGAGATAGGACATTCTTCAAACATTTGTTGAGTTAGGATTTTTTTTTGAACCGGTAGCCGAGATAGGGCGAACTTTCACTCAGCCGACGACAAGGTGTAGTTAGTGGTTATAAAATAATTTAATGTTCTTTTGGGTTAACAAATGTTTTTTATAAGATAATTTAAAAATAAATCTGGAGTGCCGCCACGTGAACTGATCCTCGATAATTCGGTCACGGATATTTGAAAAAAAATATGTTATTGAAATTAATTGAAAACATTTTTTAAGGGATTCACTTAAACTCGGAAAGTGGGAAACTTGGAAAACCTCTTAAACAATGACGAAATTCAGAAATCGGGAGTTCACTCAGAGTTTCTTTGTATAGTTAATACAAGGTATCAGCTGAAGTTAGTATAAAGTACCACTTTCAAAATACCACGAAAAAGTGTAAAATGTAGATTGTATGAATTAATTAATTGACCAAATTGAAATTCACGAACTAATTGAACTAAATGAGCAGATTTTTGGCTCCTAATGCCGTTTCGACAGCACTCAAAGAAGCTGCCTATGCCTTGTTTGGTATCCGGAAGAGCCGCAGAACTGAATCGCTCAGGAACAATTTACTACAAGTCTATTATCAATTTTCGATGTTAGATAAGGTAGCAAATCGATTGCCTGGCAGAATATCACTCTGAGTATTAATAGACTAGTAGACATTGAGGCTTCCTCTCACACAGGGACTCAAACGGTGGTCAGTGAATCATCTGAGTGGTCGACATTCGTCAAATAAAATACCAGAAAACCAAGGAATACAGAGGGTTCCACTGGGTGGTGTCGCTTTTCTGCTGCTGTTTAATTATTTGCTCCCTGAACCACCAAAGAGAGTCTCTGAGTCGTACATTCCCACGTCAGCCGGTTCTACGTACCGGAATGACTCGGGTTTTACCCGACCAAGGGCTGTTGTTTCGGCTATCTAACCCCGTTTAGGTCGCGGAAATCCAGCGAACGTTGTTAGATACTAGGGCTACATCTGCTCCGTACCCTTATGTTTAGGGCTGGCATAGAGTTCAATCAAAGGGCAGAAATTACCACCTACTGCGTATGCCAGAGACGACTGCATACAAACTTCACAACGGTCAGGTGCAATGCATGTAATGGGTGGAGTCATCTCAGTACCTGCTCGGGCCTACGCACGCACCGGCAATGGACTACGTCGTTCGTGGCCACATGCTGTGCGAACCGGACCGCCTCCACGGCAAACCACCACCCGCCCGTGCAGCACACAACCAACAAACCCACACCGCAACACACCACAACAACAGATACACCACAAGGCCGCACCCCCTTTTGCAGTACGTACAGCAGGGAGCCGGTAGGCAACACAACTCCTTAACACCACACATAACAATCGGTCTTCCAAGGCACACATAGGTACAATTCACTGTAACGTACTCCAGAGCAAGATCGAGAAGATAACTGTCCTTATGGGAAGGCATGGAATATTAATAGCTGCGGTCCAAGAGACGAAGTTGCACGGCAATTCAACCTTGTTGAATTGCGCCGGATACAACGTACACCGTCGAGATTGCGAGCGCGACAATGGTGGAAGTTTAGCGTTCATCACGCACCACACCGTGCAGTATCGTCTTATTGAAGCAGACTTCGACCGCAGGGATACCATCCTAGAATGCCAGGGTATTGCTATCCGGTCAGGCGATGTTGAGCAATATATTTTAAATATTTAACATATACATACCTAACAGTTGTCAGCGCTGGTCTGATCAACAGCGCATCATGGCGACTTATGCTAGCCCTAGCATCAGACCATCTGCCCATAGTAATCTCGATTGATAAACCTGCCGACTTTACTTCCACGGATCACCGGACCTATGTCAACTTTTCCAAAGCTTACTGGAAAGGCTTCGCGGATGTTACTGAAAGCGCCTTCACTGCACTACGCATATCAACCGACGTCTACATAGGTGAACGTAAAATCCGCAGGGTTGTCACTGCTGCTGCAGCTCGCTTCATCCCAGCAGGCTGTATTTAAGGATCCACGTCCGAACTTGCGTGACAACCTTCGTCAGACCGATCCCGGAAATCCCCGTATCATTGATCTTAATTCGGGATTCGGCAACTTGTGGACGTACATAAGCGGAAGAAATTTGCAGAGCATCTGAAGACCTGTAACTTCGCCTCTGGTGTGAATAAGCTTTTGTCAACCGTGAGGTCGTTGTCCAACCCGACGAAGCGTGACGACAGAGTCGAAATAGACTTTGGTGACCACGCTTCGTCGGACCCGGAGCGATGCGCGAGCTATTTTAGCCGGCAGTTTATTATGCATCCTCCGGTGGATAAAGCCACACGTCGAGTAACCAGAAGGCTGCACAAAATGCCAAAACCCAGTGCGCCTCTTGTTTTCACCAGCGATGAGGTAAGGGTAGCCATCGGGAAGGCGAAAGGCTCCAAAGCCATTGGACCCGACGGAACATGCATGTTGATGCTGAAAAATTTGGGTCCTGCGGGAGTAGCGTACCTAACAGAGGCCCTCAACTTGTCTATGGCCACTCTCGTCATTCCAGACATATGGAAGATGGGGAGAGTGGTCCCACTGCTCAAACCGGGGAAACCAGCCAACAAAGGAGAGTCTTATCGCCCGATAACCCTCCTTTCCCCGGTAGCGAAGATACTAGAGGCCTTGCTACTCCCGTTTTTCACGAACCACCTGAACCTGGCGAAGCATCAGCATGGGTTCCGTAAAGTGCACACCCATAAACACCCAGATAACTCATGGCCTTAACCGAAACCGCCCCTTTGAGAGAACTATTCTGGTAGCTTTGGACCTGTCCAAGGCGTTCGACAGTGTCAGTCATTCAACGCTGCTAGAAGACATAGAGGCCTCCTGTCTCCCACAGGGACTTAAACGGTGATCGGCGAAAATCCTCAGAGTTACCTTGGACAGTCTGCTCTCCTTCTCGGCGCATACAACCGCAATTATCAACAAAGTACATAGCCGCAACAATGTCCTCAAGTCGCTGGCCGGCAGCACTTGGGACAAAGATAAAGAAACGTTGTTGGCAACATACAAGGCAATTGGCCGGCCGGTTCTAAACTATGCAGCGCCCGTGTGGTCGCTTGGGACTAGCAGGACGCCGTGGATGAAGCTACAAACTTGCCAGAATGCGGCACTACGGACAGCTACCGGATGCCTCCTGATGACGCCCCAACACCACCTACACGACGAGGCCCAGAGGCAAGGAGCATAACCCAATGCTCTGCAAGCAGTTCCTTGTGGGGAGCCACTGACGTGGTTATCCTAGCAAACAGCTGCTTGCTGAAGAGCCCTCGCCAAGGCACGTCAGGAGGCATTTCTACGAACTGACGGACGAAGTGCAGAGGTTCATTAAACAACCTCTGGACCCGTCAGCCTACCGACAGGCCCTGAGCGGCATTCACAGGGAATCAGTCTCGAGTTATGTAAACTCCCGCCCTGTGAATGCCGTTCTGGGCACACAACCACCGGACGTGGACGGGACAGAAATTTGTCTGCCTCGGGAGATCCGCACCACAATAGCCCAACTTCGCTTCGGCTTAACTCATACCTGAGCAGAATTATGTAAGAAGTGCCCAACCAATGCCCGGCATGTGGAGAGTCGCCACATGACTCTCAGCACCTCTTCACATGCCCTTGCAAAAAATTTACCCGCCACAGCGCGCTATGTTGAAGTCAGCTAAAATCGTTTAGGCGGTTACAGAGCCAAAGAGGAAGACGTGTTGGTAGTATTTAAGATTTCATTCGTGTGCGTCTGGATTGGATTATCATCCTGGGTATGGTACAAACCTACATACAATGCATTAGCATTAGACCTTAACCCTTGTCGGTCGTCATGGCCGTTAACTTAAAAAACTGGACCCTGCATTAAAATGAATTACGTTTGATACTTAGTGTAATATAAATCAGGTATGAATTTCCACTATTCTTGTTTTCATAACTACTTACCTGCATATGGATGTACGTACGTATCAAAAGACAAGCATAATATTACATAGCAATCAATGTGCTTCATTCGGGTGTATACATATAGTACATACATATGTATTGGCGTGGGCCGAAATACCGCTTTTTTAGAATTTTGATTGTTATTAGCAAAAATTTGATTTCATTATGCTCTAAAAAATATCTGTGAAATGGTCAATATACTAGGCTCGCCCAAGTCCATCAAAGTTCAAGTAATAAAAAAAAATGTTTTTCTTAGCTAACTTCGATTCTCTACAAAAAAGGTCCATATAGCAAATTATGTAGGACTAATACTTTAGAAGATTATTGCAACTTTAGTAAAAAATGTATTAATTAATTTATTCATTAATTTTTATTTTTTGAGCATATTGAACTTTGATATACTTGGGCGAGCCTAGGATATTTACCAAAAAATTCCAAATTTCACACATATTTTTTTTAAAGCATAATGAGCCATATTTTTGCTAGTACCAATCAAAATTCTATAAAAGCGGATTTTCGGCCCACGCTAATATGTTTGTGATACTTAGCAAATCAGAAGGTATCAGCGTGCAAACTGGTTCGATTTAGGAATGTAAATTCAAAAAATTTTAAAGTAAACTAATATTAGTTGTAAGCCGTTAAGATAAGGAAATTTCAAATCATTAACGCGCATCAATGAAAGAGCAAAGGCCTAATCGAAATACATACATACATATGTATGTATATGCAAACGTTTGTTGCAAATTCATACATAAATATGGACGTGCATCTTAGAGGGACACACATGCATATGTACATATATATGCACACACATATACATATCTACATCTATACTTACCTATATAACTTTGCATCTGTCCGTTCGACGCGCTGTCTGTTAGCAATTTGTAGTTTTGAAGCCTTACAAATGCAAATGCAGCTGCTGCAACTTTATGCCCAACTTCTCTTGCTCTGTGTGATTGCCGTGATAGTAGCAGCGTCGTGTATTGCAATTGAAAGTACCGGTGTTGCTTGCGCATTCAGTTAGTCAGCCAATTAGCCAGTGAGCGGTTCGTTTTAGCATTTTGCCGTTATTTAAAAGAGCCTGATTTTGAAGAGAAAAACTATTAATTAAACTAAATTACGGTTAATGAACTACATATGTACATAATTGTGAGAAATTTAATTTCGCAAGTTGTGTGTTGATTTATTTTTAATTAGTGTGTCAAAATGGCTGAGGAAACCACACCGTTAACCGCTGGAATATCACCACCACCTTTGGGTCCAGCCTACGTTTTCCCAGGCGGTGTGTCGCCACGTTCGCGTCGTTACCGGAAAATGCAACAGTTTCAATGCTGTTTAGGCCTAACTGTCGTGTGAGTTATGAAGCATGATTTGGTAAAAAAAAAGAGTAGTCGGTTGTAAAATTACAATGTTGACTGATAAGCTCTGGTTTGTGGTCGACTTCTTTGGGAAAAACTTAAATTTTTCAACCAAGATTAAACGAAAATGTGAAAAACTTAATGTATTTGTATTTGGAAGGTACCAATGGAACCTTCTTACATTGAAGATCATAGTTTCTTCGTAACCTTAAATATGTTGAGAAAAAAAAACTAATAAAATTTTTGCTTTTTATTTTTCACTCGCAATTTTTCGAACTTTCCAAGGCTTTTTGAGGTTCAATAAGGAATTTTCCGAAATTTTTTTGGGACCTTCCTGAATGGTTTTTGTTAAATTGTAAACTTAAATATTATTTATAAAAATTTAGTTTATTTTTTATGAAAACCCTTTTAAATCCAATTTTCAATCTTAGTGCAATATTTAAAAAGTTTCAACAATTTTTCGTAAAAATTTCGAGCTTTTAATTCGATTTTTTAGAAAGATTTAGAGTATGCAGTTTATTAAATTTTGGTGCAATAAAGTGCATGTTTGACTTTTGTTTCACTGAGATGGCATCTCACTCGATGAGAAGAGGTAATGGTGTTTCACTGGTCGAGTCACAGAACGAACATATGTAGATCATTTGACCATATTTTCAGCTTATACAAATGCCCTCTTAGTCTGCAGTATCCTGTCAAGATAGCCTTTGGGAGGTTAATAAAGTTTTGGAATCTCATTATTGTACCCTCCCAGTGGCTTTTTTTCTGACGCAGTCCTACCGAGCAATGCCAGTTTAGATCGTTAAGTGCGTTCCTCTCTTGCCCTAAATATATTGGGATCTAACGCCACGACCGGCTAGGAGCCACAATGCCAATCAGAACGAAAAAAATTTGCACCAAACATCAGCGTAATTCGCCTTGAAATCAGCTGCTCCGGTAACACCACCTGGTATGAATTCGCCTTGAGCTCCGCCCTAAAGAATTGAGTTTTTTTCGTAACATTCTTTACATCACTGTAACCCGATAGTAACGGTTGTCTTTGAAAGGCCATTCTGAATATATATATATATATGGTAAAAAACTTTGTCTTTAACGTTACAGTCGCACGAATATTTCTGTTTATATTTCTGAAACGTTGTGTAAAAACCGAGAAAGTTTTTCAGTTATCCTGATAATAAACCTCAAAAGCTACATTTTATATACAGATAATTGACTTCCATCTTTTGTTGTTTTTTGCTGGCATTCGGTTTTTAGTGGTCTTTAACGTAAACTTGTTTGGAAGTCAGTTATATATAACGCCACACGTACGGAAAACTTGGCGAGCCCTGCAAAGTTACAAATTAGACTAAATTATTTTAACGAAGATCAAGGTTCAAAGAAAGTATAAAAATTGTAACTTTTGGATAATACACATTTATGACAAATCTATAAACCGAAATATGCGGTCTTTAACGCTACTTACTATACTTGACTATATTCTCCATTTTGATCGCATGCGAGCCACAAGCGAAATGAACGCGCACCGCATACGTTGGATGCCAATCGGCACTTGTTTCTAGGTGCTTTAAGATGTATATTAACAAATTATATAGAGAGTTGACGGGTGAGCCAAACAAATGTTTTTCTTCACTCGTTCCTCGTTCCCAAAAATGTTGACCATATGAAACTATTAAACATTTCAAAACATTATTCCTTCTGAAATTGTCAGTTCAGGATGCGAAATGGAGCTAAGAAATATCTCAATCTGCAAAAGCCAGGGCCCGTGCCCTTTTCTAGTATGTACATAGGAATGCCCAGACAAAAATTGAAAGTGCTTCTTTTTCTGAGTCACATGACTTTTTAGCCTCCATTACTTCATTACAATATGACAGGATGGGCAATAAAGCATCGCAAAGCTTTGACGTCGTTAAGAAGCAATAGCAGGTGGATTAAATTTCTCAATCTCTGCATAGCGCTACGAAGGCGGTGGCTGGTTACTACAAGTGCCAAATCGCTGCTGTCGAGAAATGCAATGCATACAAAGCCACATTCCAGCTGATTGTGTGCGTGTATCAGCTCTTTGGCGTTATTTGGTTTTATGATTACATGCCCGAAGATTGGAATCTCAGGCTTTGCACAATCTCAAAAACATAGTCATGCTGCTGTTTTGGCCAATCACTTTAGGACTGCTTATAAGGCGCTATCTACGATACTTACGCAAAATCTTTCTCTCGAATACTCTTAAGAGACGCCTCATGGGATGTTATCATTGTCCATGCTTATGCGCCATATAACAGCATGGGCATGATGAGTGACTTGTAGAATGTGGTTTTCGCACGTCGAGAGAGAACTTTACTCCTGCATTGCCTACGTAATTCAAAGTAACACTCTTGACATTATTATCGGTCTCAAGAAATCGAAACTCTCTACTTTCTCGAAATTATAACTTTCAACAGTTATGTGGGAGCCAACGCCCGATTGCCCTGACTGTTTATTTGATGACCGGAGATACTTCGTCTTGTCCTCGTTGTTGGCCAACAGACCCAATCACTTTGCTTCCTAATCCAACTTGGGGAAAGGAAGAACAGACTTCGCGGCTCTTGATGCCGATGATTTCGATGCCATCGGCATGCAGCATTCCCAATTCTGACGAAGCTGGTGGTATTGCTCAACGTTATTTTACACAGCCGTAAAATTGCTCGTAGCTAATGTACTTCTTCTAAATGCCAATCGGTATGCCAGCCAAAAATACATACATATGCACGTGAACATACATGAACATACAGTATACATATGTGATAGTTCCTGATGAAAAAAAAAAAACAAAACAAATCTCACTCCTAGTTTTGTTGATCCCACAACCTTTAGATTACTAAACAAAGTGAAACCGCCTATTGACGATAAGAAAAAATCTGACAGCCACCGCCTTTTTCGCTAATCTTAAAACATTTTTTTAAGCATATTAAGCTGTAGGCCGCTAATAATTTAGCCCCTAAATTACTCTATACAGGCATCGCTTTTTATTATAGCAATGCCAAAGAACTTGCATAACCTAAACTTGACTCGTGCAACTTTTGGTGCTATTTTCTACTCGGATGAGTTTTACAAATCAGATGCATATAAAAATAAAAGTTTTATAAACACTTGTACGCTTTGATATATATAAAATGATCTATCCCATTTCCGCATGCATATTGATTAGCGTGAGCTGTGTATTGTACTTCTTCCTTTCTTTCTTTCCTTTAGACTGATTATTATTGTTGCTTTGCTCATTGCACTAGCGCTAGTAGAAGAAACACAAGAGCCGCCTCCGCCCATACTACTTCTAGCGAGTACAACAAACGAAACAAAACCCGCCAACAACAGTGCGGATGCAAGCGCCGTACTCGAAGCCACAATAGCGCCATTGGACGATGAACCCGCTGCTGAGTGGGCACTCAAGCAAACAAAAATGAATCGAATGCAAACCGATCAGGCTATAAGTGCCGGTATTAAAGCGTTGGGTGACCGCGAAATCTTGGAAGAAAGCCAACAACCGACTCCGGTTAACAGTCCTGCCTTCCGGCATTACCGCTCGCTGAGCACAGATTCGGCGTCACGCAAAATGGCTAGGCGCGGTTATGTGGAAAATCATGCCACCACGAATATTGCTCAAATGTTGAATTATACGAAACCGATGGGTCGCTACAATATAGGCGTTGGGCCTAAGATAGACTTGCCCGATCCGACGATAAACTTCGGTTGCGATTTTAATGCGCGCTACCGCACGGCAAATGGTGTGTGCAACAATAAGGCAAATCCCCGGCTTTATGGAGCTGCAATGGTACCCTATCGACGCATGGTGGCACCCGATTATGCGGATGGTATTTGGTTGCCACGTGCCAGTCACGCCAAAAACGACACGCAACTGCCCCCAGCGCGTAAAGTCTCTTTGGATATACACCGCGCCTCATACGATACAGATTCAAATTTCACCGTCATGCTGGCAGTTTTTGGGCAATTTCTCGATCATGACATTACTGCCACTTCGTTGTCATCCTCTGAGGAAGGTGAATCGATTAATTGTTGCTCACTACCTTCAACAAATATCCATCCGGAATGTTTTCCGGTTCCCATATTGCCCGATGATCCGTACTATCAGCGCTACAATGTGACTTGCTTGAATTTTGTGCGCTCAGCGCCCGCACCTACTGGACATTTTGGGCCACGGCAGCAACTAAATCAAGCAACGGCCTTCATCGACGCCTCGGCAGTTTATGGAAATAACGAGCAGCGGCAACGCCACTTACGTAACATGCTCAACGGCACCATCCGTATGTACAAAACCAGCGACGGCCGTGAATTGCTACCAATATCCACCGATTTGGATGATGGTTGCAATCGCGCGCAGATGGTGCGCGAGGGAAAGTATTGCTTCGAAGCAGGCGACGACCGAGCCAATGAAAATTTGCTCTTGACGTCCATGCATCTGCTGTGGGCACGCCATCATAACTACTTGGCACGTGGTTTGCAAGCAGTCAATCCGCATTGGGATGACGAGATGGTGTTCCAGGAATCGCGTAAAATATTGAGTGCTAAAATGGCACATATCACTTACAATGAGTTTTTGCCCATTTTACTCGGACGCAAATTGGCGGAGAAAAAAGGCTTGTTGCCAAATGCAAACGATTTAGACGCACCGGACACTTACGATCGGAATGTAGATCCACGTATAGCTAACTGCTTTGCTGGAGCTGCTTTTAGGTTCGCGCACACACTGCTGCCGGTGAGTACGGTGGAAGTAACTTTAAGATCTTCTTTCATATATGTACATACATAAATACATACAAATGTGACTCTTACAGGGCGTACTCAACGCTACACGTGACAACAACACACCTGAAGCTATTGAGCTGCATAAAATGCTTTTCAATCCTTTTTCGCTGTGGAACGAGCATGGCATCGATCGGGCACTTCTGACAGCCACCAATACGGCTGTGTTGCGAGTTGATCGTTTCTTCTCTTATGAAGTGACACAGAAAATATTCGAAGGCAATACCGATGAAGATATGAAGCCGCTTTGTGGTCTCGATTTGGTTTCTCTTAATATACAGCGTGGTCGAGATCATGGTTTACCAGCATATCCTGTGTTTCGCAAGCATTGCAAACTGCCGCCGGTGGATACGTGGGAAGAAATGGCGACCGCAATTGACGCAGATACTTTGCAGTCGATTCGGAATATTTATAGGTACGGAAGCTGCACTTCTGACATATTCGTAACCATTGTATATAAGTATGAATATTTCTTTGTAGCTCACCGCATGATGTGGATGTATATACAGGAGCATTGAGTGAACCACCATTAGATGATTCCATTTTCGGACCACTCTTAGCGTGTTTAGTATCAGACCAGTTCATGCGGCTAAAAAGAGGTGACTCCCACTGGTACGAAAGGAAGATAGGGCCACAACGTTTCACGAAAGGTAAGCAAATGTAGAGCCCAAAAATTTCAAAAGGATCTTGGTTGCTTGGTTATGCTTAGTAACTTAGAATGATGTGTGCTAATGCTTTCAGTCTTTATGCCACATAATCCGTTAAAGATACATAATCAGGTCTAAGGGCTTTGCGTTCAAGACCAAGTGTTTAGAGGAGCGCTCTGCATATCGGTAGGACTCAGGTCCGATTCTTGATCAGAAATCAAAAAAAATTTTTATCACAGCGGTCTTCCCTCGGCAGACTATGACAAATGTGCAAGTGTACTTCAGTCATAAAAAGGTTTTCATAAAAAACCATTTGTCATTCGCCGCGGCGTATATTTTAGCAAAAAATCGACCTCTAGTTTATTACTTTAAAAAGCAACTTTCTAGTTGACTCAGAGGTAAATTAGGCTGCGCTGGTACAGAGTGGCACACTTCGACTACCCGAAAGTTGTTCTTCAAAACCAAACTATATTTTGAACGGTAGCTGTTAAACTTATTTCGCAAAGGCGAAAAGTTTCAAAAACCTCATAGCTGTGGCAATGGCAATTTTTCGAAATCAACTGTTTTTTTTTGTTAGAAATACACAATACAGCATTGGCAACTGACAGTCCCACAAACCCCTCTATGAAGTCAGATAGTTACGACTTTGCGAGCCCAAGATGTAGCCCTGATTGTCTCCAGTTTGGTCTGGACCACACTAAGACATTGCGGTTGCATAAGTAATCGATCGCTATTTACTGAGCTCTCATGTTATAAGGCTATCCAAGGAAAGTACTCCTGAAGTCAAAACGCTTCTTTGGATTCATTTCAGGGTACTCCTCCTAGACAAATCGTCCGACATACGATTTCGTGCCTGATACATATAGTATATGTGAGGTCAGCAACTCCCAATACATCCTAAAACCATTTTTAATTTCGCAAGCATTTTGAAAGATCCCTGATTTCCACGCATCTAAGGTCCTCCAAGTTATCGAAGAATTATCTACGCAGAGCGGAGAGTCTGGTATCACTTATCTTATGCACTGTCGATTGCCATCAGTTCCACCTAAAAAACGCGACAGTGGTCCGGAAGACGAACGCTATGGGAGATTTCCAGGTGTTTGGAGTATACACCTCCACCAACTGTACCCTCGAGGTTTGAGCCGTCTGTGTATACATGATGAATTGACTCGCCACTCCTTACAGCTTCTTGTTTCTAAGCTTCCCTTGAGGGTAGGAGTATCGTAAATACGGTAGTGGGAGTGGCGTAGTCCCCAATCTGAGAAGCCCCGAGTACTCCGTTAGTACCCTACTATGACCATTACTATTATTTGACCACTTGCGTCAAGCTTCGGTACATTCATTTAAAAGTACACTGGCCTTCCGTGCGGAGGCTGCCCTCACCCAGTTATTCCTTGAGGACTGCGAGCTGCTTGAAGCTAGACTGTAGAATTATTAGCAATGATATATCTTTTAAGGGACCAATTCAAGGATCTCGATAATATTAGAGTGGCATAAGCGGAGCTAGCTAAGCATACAGTATGACCGTTGCGCGAGCTTCAGCGACCGCCAGGCTATACTTGGCATGGCATGACGTGCGGTACTTGGGTGCTACAGGCCCAACTTTCCCCAATAATTATGGCCCGTTGCACTCACTATAAAATCGTTATTGACGTACTATTCTCCGGCCTATTGCACTAGAGGAGAACTCTAAAGAACATACATATGAAGTAGGTAGGAACATGAAAGAGAGTTTGGTCCAATGGAGCCAGGAAATAAGTTTAAAGGAGAGGACCCATTTCTTATCAGTTATTTTCCTGAGACAGCTTTTTAATCTTTGCTGAATATTAGGCTTCCGCGAGCGTTTACTATTTACAAGAACTTACATATGTATTTAGAATAAAGGCCAAGGCCGTTTCCAATCGAGGGAAAGTGCGAGACTATTGTGTACAGATCGCTTACCATGACTGCGAACATGCTCTAAAGCAGTTCATTTACGACTGCAGTCCAAAGGAGAGCGGGATGAGAGGCACACAACTTAGCGCTCGTCCATATTAACACTTCGCTCAATAAAATAAGTACACCACTCTGCCAATGATTATGCGGCAGATAAACCTGATTAGGTCGGTTTCGACTTCAAGTCTAAGGGTCGGTTACTCTATGTCTCGTTAACACTAACTGCAGGTTAAACATCGTTGTCGACTTCATAACATATAACGGGGAGGCGATAAGGTCGATGTCGATGTTTAACCTATAGTTAGTGTTAGCCAGACCTATCGGTTATCCCTGACAAGGCGTTTTCAATACTGTTAAAAAGTAAAAAATAAAATAGTTCAAAAGTGGTCAGAAAAAATACCTATCCACAATTTTATTTTCAGCTCAATTGCGTGAAATCTACAATGTCACCTTGTCAAAGATCATTTGTCGGAACTCTGACGCGGTACAACAGGTGCGACTGTATGTAATGGAACGGCGTAAGGATCCTGGTAATGGATATGTGAATTGCAGTGAAATTGGGGAGTTTAACTTCAGCAGTTGGGCTACATCGCCACGCACAGTCAAGTTGCACAGCGTCGCAGTTAGTCAAGCAAAAAGTTTGATTCGGGTAATCAAAGAAAATGGTAAAAATATAACTGATAGGATAAAACCGACGACAGAAAAAAATGTCCGGCATACTTAGTTCGACGCGTTATTTATTGCAATTGCTTTTTTTTAAATATAAATTTTAGATTTAATAAAATTTTTTACTTATCGTATTTTCATTACTAACGTAAATTAAAGTGGATTGTGCAATTTTAATACACATACGCCACCAAATGAAAAAAAAAAATATATATATATTGTTTAAAATATTACTACGTTTATACGCACGCATTAATAACAATTTGTAAAATGGTAAACTTTGCCGTATAAACGCTGAATTAATTTTTATTTGCAAATAACTAAATCACGCAAATAAGTATTGATTAGTGGTACTATTTGCAAACACGCGCAAGACGCTGCCATTCTTAGGTTAATTTTCCTTTTCGATGGTCATTTTATTGCCTTTTTATAATCAGGCAATATTAAAAAAGAATATTTCTCCATCGAATAAATAGTGAGTTAGGTATTTGCAAATTATTTTTATTTGCAAATAGCTTACGTATAACGTAGTATATGATTTGAGAAATTAAAATTTCAGTTTTACAAATTTTATTGGCACACTCCAGATTCATTCTAAAATTGTTGTATATTATGCATAAAGAAAGTAATATGTATGTGCATAAGGAATACTGTGTAAAAATCTTCCACGCTATTTCCAAACTAGTTTTAAATAATAAAATTTTTAAGTTAAGGCGCGCGAGTAAACGTGTTCGCTGACTGTGTATGGCGCTTCCGGGCGTATACGTTACATGCACAACTACGGTATATGTGCACGTTTGGTTTTGGTTTTACTTTTAGACTATATCTTTTTTAAGTTTTAATCTCAACACAATTTCGTGATGGAGTCTTGTTATTTATGCAAAACTGTACACTGTGCATTGTCTAAGATAAGTGTGCCACCATTTTCGACCAAAAACACATTTTTGTCGAAAAATGTAACAACTCGTGAGATTCGGGCATATGTATGTTTATTTACAAATGAAAGCGACTGTAATCTTTTGCGGAGCTTCGATGGAGGGAAAATAAATTTTTGCTGATAATTTGCTTTAAAGCGGTCCGTATCGTATCCGACCTGTGTAGCGCAATCTTACAATGATTCAATGTTGATGCAATAATACGATGTGTTTTAATTTGAAATTATTGCAAAAATCTATGAAAAAATTAATCGTTCGTGAAAATAATCTGAGGTTTTGTATTTGTTTTCATTTAATTTGTTTAATATTATTGAAAGCGATTACGACCTAGTTAGAGGTGCAGACTATTTACTATTCCGGGGATTTCAAACGTCAGAAAGTTTTTTCTAATTGAGTCCGCCATTGAAGATTCAATGTCATACCTCAGATTGTATGTACATATCGTCGGTCGCTACGAAGAGTAGCGCATTTCACTATTAGCGTGGAAGACTAGCACATTTCATTATTCGCGTCGAAAAGTAGCACATTTCAGATTTTTGCGTGGAAGAGTAGCACATTTAGGGTTTAAACTAAATCATAGAAGCATAATTTATATTGGAAATTCAAGTGCTTGTTTTATATTTCTATAATTATATTATAAAACTCATGAAATTCAGACGGTATAAAGCGTTTAGTTATCATTTGCCGGAGATCATCCACTTTCCTTTTTTTTAAAGGCATTTGTCCCCTTTAAGCTTTATGCAATTCATATTGTTTTATGGTTAACCATTGAAATTTTGTTTTCAGTATGTTTAATTTCAATTAAAATTAAGTCCATTTAAAAAAACCATGTAAACCCGCGCTTTAAATTTTGTAAACATCTAAAAAAAATCAACTAATTTTCATTCAAATTTCAAATTTATTTACTGTGAAGTGTTACAATTTTTTTGAGTATGAAGCTTTATAGCCGATTCAATTTTAGTGCGATAATGTGCAAGCTTCAAGAGCTTTAAAACCTTTGATTATTTTTGTCGCATTCGCTACCATATAACGAATAAACACAATTTATTTTTATATGGAAGAAAACCGCAACAACGGAAATTTTTAGCCACTTGAAACTTGCACATTATTGAATAAAATTTCAAAGGGCTTTAAATCTATATACTCAAAGAATTCTGAGAAAATAATTTTGACATTTGGATGAACATTCCCTGCAAACCAAAGTTCCTGAAATCTTAAGGAAATCGTTAGGAGTATCTGATTTCTGTAACGATTTTTTTACGAATTTTCAAAGAAAATTATATGAAGGGGTTGACACGAACTCGTAAAGAAATTTCTGTACGAAAAATAAAGAAAATTCTGGAAAAATTCTGAAAGATATTCTTCACATAGCAGCATTATTTTCGTTGCTTCACAGATTTTCTTCCGAAATTTCGTAAAAGAATGGAAGTGTGCGTAATTTATTTCATTTTAGAAAATTCGGCAAAAAATCGAATTAAGTCTTAACGAATTCTTTAAAATTTCTTTACTATGCAGAATACTCTGAAAAAATGGTTTGCAGGGTTTTTAGATTTTTTTAGTTTTCTACAAAGTTTTAAATTTGGATTTATATGGACTTCTTCACAGAATGAACTTTATTTTAATGAAAATTCTTAAAAATAAATAAATGAACATAAGTGGAAAACAGTATCACTTTGAAATGAGGTGCTCTTGATATGACTGCATGTACATTAGGGTGGTTCAAAACAGTAAAGTCGGAATTGTAATGCTCTCACCCCCAAAAATTGTTCTATATAAAAAAAAGTATACCCCTATTTTTTTATTTCAAAAGCAAAAAATATTTAGAGGTCGCTCAAAGCGCCCATGCATTTTTACACGAGGAAAAACAACTTTTCGTAGAAATGGTAAGGATTCTTGAAAATCAATATTTTTCGATAGGAAAACTCTGGTTCTCTTCAGGAGACTTACCATAATAATACCCAATTATTTATTTAACCATTTTTTAATACTAACGATTTTTTATTTGTCCCCTCATTGCATTTTTCGGGGTTTTTGTGGGTTTTTGGCGGACCTACAAATTAAAGTTGCGATGAAAAAATGGTTAAATAAACAATTGGGTATTATTATTGGGAATCCTGCAGATGAAAAGAGTTTTCCGATAGAAAAATATTAGTTTTTTTGAATTCCAAACCATTTCTACCAAAAGTTTTTTCCCCATATAAAATACGTGGAACACTTTGCGCGCTTTGAGCGACGTCTAAATATTTTTTGTTTTTAAAATAAAAAATAGGGGTATATTTTTTCGGTATAGAACAATCCTAGGGGTGAGAGCATAAAAATTCCGACTTTACTTTTTCACATGTATTTTTGGACCACCCAAATGTGCATCTATGTTTCTCGTATTTATAAATAGATTCCCTGAGGAAGTCGTGAATATGCGTCAAAACAAGTAGGAGGAAAATAAACGTTTATTCTATTTGTAATAAAATACCGAAAAGCTCCATACACAACATTAAACTCTCAGCTTAGTCGAGGAGAAATAATTATAACATACATGTATGTTTGGTTTTTGTACGGCTGCTAGTACCTCTTTATATGAATTTGCTACTCTTCCACAAAAATAGTGAAATGTGCTACTCTTCCACGCGAAAATCTGAAATGGGCTACTTTTCGACGCGAATAATGAAACGTGCTAGTCTTCCACGGTAATTTGAGATGTGCTACTCTTCGTTGGGAGTGACGATATTATATCAATGCGCTCATAAAAACGAGGAAAGTGCAGTTCAGTTAGATACCAAGTATATCATTATAATTTGGGTAAAGCTGTCAACCTAAGCATGAACCCCTTCTATTTGCCAGTTTAACCTTTTAAAAATGCGGGAAATAGTTTTGGGATATTACTAACTTCTTTGCAAATTTTTTTAAATGAGATTATCTCACAATTCCACTTCTCTTGCCATTTTCGTATTAAATATCTTTTTTGTTAAATCGAAGAGACACTCAATTGAGGCAAAGATTAAGGGAAACAAAAAAACTTAGAATGAATTTTTCAATGGTAAAATATTAAGACAAGTATAACGGAAAATTTGATTCCACATAATTCTTGGCTTGAGTTTCCATCTATTTAAAATATGAAAAAGAGAGTTTACTATTCATCTACGTATTTAGGTGCCCATAGGCAAACAAGTAGATTATTCAGAAAAATAAGATTCTTTTCTTGATTGGCATATCGCTAGCTTTGAGTGAAAATTTGCTAAGTCCACTTTTTATGAATAGAATGCAAGATTGCCAAGTCCACGCCACGAAGCACCGAAAATCCGATAAGGCCAAAATAATACAAAATCTTTTTATAAACATCGAATCCTTCTGATTCTAATGCGAGTTTTGCTTTGCTTTAAATACGCAAAATGTTATATTTAAAGTTTTGTGAAATATTCAAAATAAACTATAAGAAATTAAATTAATTTCAATTAAAACTTGAAAGGTCTGAATTTCCTAATTTGTCTGCTGGCGACTCTTTAGCTAAATTCTAGAATTTTTGTTTTAAAAATGTCACCGTGAGTAGCTTCGTGGCGCCATATGAGATCACTATTCCTTTCGGTTACAAATATATATGTTATATGAACTTTTTCGATGTCAAGCAAGCGAAATCTTTTTATATTATCGTAAACTCTACGACAATCCTCTGGTATCTCAACCACTAGTCTTATGTCATGTATGACATGACATTAGGCATTGGCCCGTAAAAGTCCTCGCCAGGGACCTAATAATACAGTTACTGATGAAAACTGTCATGGAAAAATTCACTATGAAGGAAATGTTCTACAATTAAGTGATACATGCCAATCGATTTCTTTTTTCAACGACACTCAAATTTGAAAGTATATAACTGTTATTTGCAGATTATTTAGATAAAAAACAGAAATAACGGTTATTTGAGGAATAATTAAATTAAAGTAAAAAATATAATTGTTAAAGAGCGATATTTTAATAAAAGTTGTAACTGTTACGGTCTCTGGTCCTCGTTGTTGTACACCAGTAATTGAGCTGTGTGATTAGTTAAATATTGCTCAATGGCGGCCAGTGATATACATACATACCGCGCCTTTTCTGCAACGGTCAGATCTTTCCCTGCCAATTCGTCAATTTTGCAATTCATCTTATTACCCAGTTGTCCAGACAACTAAATGAGATAAATTGTACGAAGCTGGTGATTAACTGCATGTGCATATATATTTAAAATATGAACCAAATCGGACTATAAATACGATTTTTAGTATTAACTCGACTCCAGCGCCACCTGGTGAGTCATACAAACCTTCTCCTTATAACTAATAAGAAAGAATGATCCAAATGGGTTAGCTCTTCTAAAGTTCTAATTGCTCCGATTTCATTTTAAGAAAGACAAATGCATACACATTTTCAAATAATTTTGTACATATCTATAGGATTTACATATTTCTTGCACGGGTTAAGGCACACCACTGAGCAGTTAATAATTCATCGCAAATTCTTATACAAGTTGATCAACTTTTTCATTCCCAGAGATATGGATTAATTTAATTTTTTTGAAGTGCCCTAGCTGCAGTTGTTGTTGTAATTGGCACCACATCGATTATAGTGCTGCACTGTTGGTCATGCTGCATATAGGCCAGCGTGCAGGCGGTGAACAAAATCAACCAAAATACCAACACACATGTGCCGAAGAGTGTGCGTCTCAATTTTTGCCACCATGGATCGTCAACGAAAGGTAATAGTTCTTGCAATGAGAGTCCAGCGGAAAAACTGTAAGTAAAAAATCAAAATCTGTTAAATTTTTCACCTAAGCGCTAATCTTAATAACAGAATGTTTGCTTAAAGCTTAAACAGACGGCAGCGTTAATCCGAATTAACTCGGACTTAAACCGGATCAACTGCAGTCAATTCCCGAGTTGATCCGGATCCACGCTGCCGTCTGTTTATACTTTTAGGGTTTGATAGCACCAGCAACATTTTCAGCAATAACTTGCAACAGCGCCAGACACTCAAGCGCTAAATCTTACAAGTTTGGATACATTTTTAACAAACTTGATTAATAACTTGATGAATTAACTGCTAAAGAGAGTAAATGTGATTTTTTTTATGTAAAAATATACTCGGAGGTTTGCCATTGCATGTCGGGGGCCGACCGCTATCAGAAAAAAAATGTTTGGATGTTGCTCGGATCAGGGATCGAACCCTCGGCGATTATTAAAAAGTTTCGCTTTATAATTATTGTTGTAGTGACCTTTTCTTAATTAATTGAATATCTAAACAAGTAAATAAGTTTAAATTCGGGCGAAAACGAATTTTATATACCCGATGCACGTATTAAATATCGTTTTTTCACCTTTTAGTATCCTGCAAATGGGCCCAGTGGGAAAATGTAATGTATAGTAATCGAAAAAATAATCAGTACAACAACCCTTTTCACATTCGAAAATGCATTTTTTTGTCCAGTAGTAAAGTAGTTTATAACTTACTTTTAAACTAATTCAATTTCCTGCAGGGTTGCCGCTCATTGTGCTGTTCCTTTTAATCTACTTGATTAACGGATATACAGAAGCAGATTGTTGGGTGTCAAAGAGCTCAGTTTTACGTCCCTCAACACATATGTATGTAGCTGCCTATACCTAATCAGTGCAAAGGTGGTATTCCGTCGTCTCGTCCTCTTCAAGCTAGGAAGGGCAAATGGGGTTGTCATATAGGGCAAGTTGTCGGCAGTATAATCTGTTCAATGATCTACCGAGATTGAGGTCAACATGAATTTCGACCACCTAAGTCCTCTTGAAGTCTGCTAGTCATTGCTGAACGAAATATTCTGCCAGTTTTTGGCCGTGGCTTCAATGGCCTAGGGTGGGGGTACTATAACTGGTTGCCGACTGATGAATACCTGGTCTGAGCCCACTCTGGCTAAATGTTCCGATGACTCATTACTAGGAACTCCCGAGTGTCCTGGTACCCATAGTAAGACAAGTTCGTCATTTTTTCGAGATTCGAGAGTGTATGAGTCTGGGATGAGTGTTGGAATTAAGCCAGCAGCCTCGGGGAATTCAATCTTGTAGAATCTCCCCAGAAAAGGTAATGGTGGCATACTATCCTGGGGCATTGAAAAAACCCTCGTGTCTAAAACTCTGCCATTAGCAATCTCTTCCTAGTCGCATTCAGTATCATACCAACCATCCATTTATTTTAAGCCTGCAGGTAGCCGTTAAGGCCTAGCCACATATGAAGTGGTGGATAGCATATGAAATGATGGTAAGTAGATCTCCAAGATTAGCGCCAGGTTTTGTAAATGAAGGTCGCGTACATCACAATGCGACTGTCCTTTCAAGTTTGGTAACAAGATTTCCTGCGCTATTGATTTAGTGTCTGCCAATTAACCTTATCGTCGAGCTGTAGATCAAGAGGATACTTCTTGCTGACAGAATCCACGCTTTACCAAATGCCGACAACGCTTTGGAGGTCTTATGCTCAAAGTAAGACTTCCATGAAAGTATGGCATCCAGAATTATGTACTTACATATATGTATGTACAGATATATACCTAACTTCGGAATACATCTGAATTGCAAGTGTAAGTGCAATTAAACCTTCCTACTTTCTCCTTATAGTGAAGAGCACAACACTAGCTTTGGTTGGGTTAGCGGACAGCAAGACAGAGAAAGGCACCTATTGATGCATGTCAAACCATCTCCATAGGCCTGGGCTTAGGTACGAGAGTCATTAAGAGTGATAAGATGGGACTCAATTACCAATAACCAGAGCAAAGGGGAACGAACTCTGCTCCTTAGAAATGCACACAACGTATACTAACTAGTGTCCATGATTTTTATACAAAAGTAACCAAGTGCTAGCGACGCAGTCAAAATTCTTTTCAAGGTCGCCAACAGAAGCCTTCTCTAAGTGCAAAGGATATGATACCTATCGCCTAAATGCATGCAATCTACAGCCGCATGTGCAAAAATTTCGTTTATGAAATGTATAGCATTATTGCCTATGCTCTTCTCAATTGTCATATAAACAAAATTACTTAAGTTATAATTCGACTTCAATGTATGCTCGGCCTAGTCTGATACATTCTCCAATACAATGATGGAGAGATGATGGTTGCCATGGCCACAGTGTCTACCTACTACTTTTTGGTTCAATAAATACATTTTTTATATAAAAACATACATACATACATCCCTCTCACTGAGTTCTTCATGCAGTGCTGTAAAATACAGAATTATGGTGTTGCTTTAAAACGCAAAAAAAATATTAATAAATATAATTAATTGTTTTATCCATATTTGACAGCGCGATCTGGACATCAAAATCAAAAGTTGACTAAAAATTGCGCATACGCAACATAAATTATTTTAACAATAACACAGGCAAGAGAAAAATATGTAACATGATTTTGATTTTAGCCCAATAACTGTGAAATTTAGTATGAACAGCCCCATACACCACACAAACTACCGACGCAACCCCGATGCAAAGGAATTCCGGGTTGTATTTCCCTAATAAGATTTACCAAATCAAACTTATAAAGATCTACATACATATAAAATTTGTAATGGCCTTATTCATAAAAAATAAAGTAGGTTTAAAAAGCTTTATAAAATGACATTCATTTCATTAAGCATACATTTTAAGTTTATAAACCTTTATTTTTTATGAATAAGGCCATAAGACTTTAAATAACAAGAAGAAAATTATTTGCCTTTAAACTAGTAATATTAGTTTTCAAAAATTCATTTCTGTCAACCAAAAGTGTCAAAAGGGGGCATTTGTGAAAAAACTATCAAAGTATCAAATCTTACAATTTAGAAAGAAACTATCAAAAGTGATACAATTGTATCAAAACGGCAACGCTGGTTCCAGTCAATACTGTGTTGCTCCGAAAAAGTGCATCTAAGTCAATATACCGAAAGATCTATATAAAAATAAACGAAAACTCACATCATGGACAGATAGAAAATATTATTAACGTCTGAAACAATAGTCGTATTCACCAACTTGAGCAAGTGGCCTAGCACTCTGGCAAAAAAGCAGATGAGCTCAAGCAACGATTGTTGACAACAGTCGTTGCTTGAGCTGTTCTGCTCGTTTGCCAGACTGCCCGGCCACTTTCTCTCTTTGGTGAATACCACTAATGAAATAGTTAAGTAGGCATGGGCTGCAGCGGACACCATAACTTTGCTAAAATCAGTCCAGCACTAATCATCAAGCGCCATCATCAAAAAATCTCTCACTATCACAATCTCTCATCGATGGGGATAATAATTTGAAAATTTTAACGCACTGCATATATAGAATATGGAATATATTATATCTTACTCTAGTTCCGCAAGTACTGGTGTATAAGCATTATATAAAGGTTTATCCAAAACGTCGATGTAGTGAGAATACCCATTTTGTTGCTTTGGTTGCTGTGTGAAATGTCCGTTGTAATAACCGTTGGATTTTGAGTTGTCATTGCTCAGGAGTGCAGTATTCTCGGTTGTTAATAGGGACATATTAATGAAATTTAATATGCAAACTTATTGATTAGCACTTCAAGTTTTTATCAATCGTTGATTTCTAATTATTGTGTAAACAAAACTAAATGCTAGGCATTTTTTTGTTTATTTGGAACAATTTATTATCGTTTTAAGATTTTCGTTTATGTTTTTAGCCTATTTTTGTAGTAAAAGGTCCAATCGGGCTCGTTGGCCTCTTCACAACGACTCAGCTGACACTGCATGTATCATTTGCAGAATTTCAAGATACTACGACGCAATATAAATTATAGTCTATACATATTTGCATACACATACATGCACATTAGGGCGGGTCGAAAATTAAATTATTCTCAAATCCTTTGGTTATAGTGAAAATATCTTGTACCATGAGGTCAACAATAAGCATGTCAAATATTAATCGTTTATCTTAATTGCAACAGCCCAAGTGACACAAAGCAAAATTCAGGGTTCAGCAAAAAGTTTCGGCGGATATTATTAGATAATAAATCTGTAAACGCAAATGCCAAAGTCAAATAACATCTCTGGCAGCCCTTTTCAACCAAATTGTAATTGTTCTTTTGATTATTGCAATGGTCTTTAGTCAAAAGATGCAAAGAACAGAATTCATATATCTGGGGTGTATTTAGGTCACTGGTTCCAAATATACCGTTTTTCATATTAGCCGTACTTTGCGAATTTTCGCAAATTTGAGAACAATTTCGGGAATTATAGTACGAAAACCTTTATTTTCCATCACCGTGGAAAAATTTCAATTATATAAATGAATATGGAAACATTGAACTAGCACAAATTGAACAAACACTAATTAGTTTACTTATTATTATGCATGCAATACAAAAATTGCAAATAAATGAAGTTCACAGGAATTTTAGTTCAACATTTTTATTCTTTTTTGAAATAATTTTGTTTTTTTTTGTCCATGGTCCTTTAAATATTATACATATAAACGTCCGAAAATCTAAAAATGTTTGAAATAAATCTCGTATAATTTTTTTTTTTCATTTTTACCTGGATACTAAACTAATGAAGAATTGAAAACTCATGCGGGATAGCTTTCCTAAATGTCTCGAAAACTTGCAGTCTTATTGAAAAATGATATATGAACGTGAGATACTAAATTTAATAACCATTCACTTGATATGTAGATCGTCTAGTTTATAACAATTAGCGCATTCCTTAGATATTTAATTTTCCAAATTCATAAACTTGGAATCAATTGCACGGGCTAAAGATAAATATGTTTTAAATTAATCTTTCGTGGCCAATTATTATTGGCGTAGACCTAAGACAACATAATATTACTATTACAGTGCGATCAAGTGCAATTTATTTTGCCTCATACAAAATCGATTCTGCCTAATGTACATGTACATACATATATACTGCCATTTTGCTGGAGAACGCTTTAACTAAAAAAAATAAAGAATACGACAAAGACGGCTTAAAGGTTTCAGTCAGGCTTTTCTACTTCAACAGAATTAACTATATACTGACTAAAAAATATATAGCTAATACAACAATAAGATTAAATCCAAAGCATAAGGTAATTAAAACATAAATTTGATACTTACTTTGCTCATATAGTATTGTTTTCTAGTTATACATACCTGCAAAGCAAAATGGAAAAGATAAAAATGCTAAATAAGATTCCAAATTCTCCTCTAACGGCACATAATTGAAAGGAGAGTTGATGGCAATTCTGCATTCTTAAAAAAATTTTGCTTTTTTAATTACGACGTTCATCCTGCAAACGAGCGATATGTAGTATAAACGCACATATGCATAAATACACCATCTTGCTTTTAAAAGTAAATACTATATAATATTTACTATTGTTCTCAGATAATTCTTTTCGCTACAATTAATGGAGTCCCACCGAAGTTCGTAGGCGACGTAGACGAACCTTCGGTTGTATTTAAAAATCTGTGATATCTTCTATGTAGCCGTTTTTGTGACCAATTGGCTCAAGAACCGATGAACGGATTTTAACCAAATTCGGGCCGTATATTCCTTAGGACCGTGGCAAGGGTAGAGATGATATTTTAATCCGCCAGGTAGCGCAAGAGTCGACATATTCAGAAAATCTGTATTTATGATCCGATTTGGTGATATTAAAAAATGTATCCTGCTGGTGCGATAAGAAATACTTTTATGAAGAAATGGATCCGCTAGAGGGACCTAAAATCGAGTTATTCAGAAAACTCCTTCAAAACTATGCAACGGAACTAGACTTAAGATTGTAGAGCTGCAAAAATATCTAACTAGCTCTAGAAAAACCAAAACCTACATTAACAAATTACATAAAGGTACGCACAACGATAATCACAATACAACAACACATGTACAAATGGTCAGCTGATTAAGCTAAGTGAGATTTTGACCAGTTCTGGCTATTTTCTCTATGTCCATTTAATGTTTATAATTTGTTTATAAAAGTCTAGCACATTACATAACCAGCACCACATAAATCCACATTTTAATTTTCATATACAAATTACGAAAATTCAACAACGTTTTTAAACTTTTTATCCGGAATTTATTTCGATAATTACTTTTATATGGAAGAAAATGCCTTGCACCGTCAGCAAAAAACGATTAAAAATCAACGCGATTTTCTAGCATCTTGAAATTTGCACTTTAACCTACTGAAATTTAATAAACCTAACCTAACTAAACCTAAAATTTCGGTTAAAAAGTTTAAAATTGTTGAGAGTAGTTGTTAAAATTTGTTGAAGTTGTATAGCTTTTGTACGAAGTTTGAAGTGTGATTTATATGGTGCTCATTATGTAATGTGCTAGAATTTTATAAAAAAATTGATAAACATCACTAAAATTAAAAATGTTACGTAACTTAATCAGCTGACCACAAGTGTATCTCTATAATATATAACATATTTACCACAAACGTATGCAAGTTTTCGTTTCGTAAAGTGATGACATTTCAGATATTCCAGCCGGATAAGCCCACTGCCAGAAATTCGGTTGATCCCTAACACTTAATGTAGTTGTTGGAAACAATTATTTTGGTGTTATTTTTATTCCTGCAAACAATATTTTCATTTAGTTATTTATTTTAGCTGCGTGTATACATTAGACCGTACCAGAAAAAAAAGTTGGCCGCACACCATTCAATCTAAAGTATTTTTGCGAGGCGATTTCGAAAGCAATTTTTTTTGGCCGAACATAGGGCCGCCTTTTAACCTTTTTCTGCATATTTTCGGCATTTACAGTCGGATGTATGTCGGAAGTATGCCATGTCTTGAGAAGATAGTTGTTTTTGCTCCAAAGTTAATTGACCTCAAGTACACCGTTCTAGTATTTACCCACCAGATCTCAGTTCGTACCACCCTAACGTCTGTAAAATAAAGCTCATCAAAAAACATTGCACTTTAGTTAAGGAAGTTTTCGATTCAAAGGCAATTTTGATTTTTTCCCCGCACGATGGGTTCGCTTTCCCCATTAACAGTCGGAGCTTAAAGTATATACTTTTTTTCTGTAATATAATTTTTTTCGGTTTCCAATTTCATTGACCTCAATTCGGATCTTAAAGTAATTTTTTTTCCTTAAAGATACAATTTTTCTTGTTTCAAAGTTCATTGAGCTCAAGTACCCCATTTTAGTACATAGCCAGTAGATCCTCAGTTCTTATCACCCGAACCTACCACCTTGATATCGGTAAAATGAAGTTTCAAAAATCATTAAACTTTTACTAAGGAAGTATGTAGCTATTTCGATTATTTATTCCAGTAAAAATGTTACCGAAAAATGGAAAAAATATTCGGCCAAAACAGATGTTTTTTCCAAATTGCCTTGCAAAACTATTTTAGATGGCGAACTTTTTTTTTGCCACTAAGGTGGTACTCTCTAGTGTACATATGAATATGTATTCATTATACATAGAATAACCCTGCAAAAAATACGACTAATCCGGGATGACTCCGGGAGCAATCGCAAAGCAACATCCGACTAATACCACTTTTGATCTCTTTATATGGAATGAACTGTTCGCTTTTGTTCGAGCATGTCCCATGAAGAGACTAATTGTTCACTTAAAAAAAAAATTAAATAAAAATTTGCGCCAGCCACCATTCGAACCAGGGTGCTGAGGTTTGTTAAGCGAATACTCTCCTATGTGCCAACGCCGCACATGAAATTCATTGACTAAGTGCGTACATATCATTAAATATTGGTATTACCCGTTAGAGATGAGTCGGGGACTAATTGAACTCCAATTATACCCGTATGGAATGAGTCGAGACTAATTGATCCGCATTAGTACCAGTATGAGACTAGTTGCGATTAATTAATGACCAATTGTACCCGATTGAGAGTAACCTCGGAATACCGGAATACTCTCTTTAAAAATTAGTTGGACAATTTTTTGCAGGGAAATCATAAACGCATGAGAAACAAGACATTTTTCAGACCTACATTTATTGCCTATTTTTATTTGTATCATTAAGTGAACGCCCAGTAAGAAAAAGAAATTATTGGTAATGCATCGCCTTTATAGTCGATAAAACTCCTTGACACCATATACAATTTTCGAATCGCTATCGCACTTTTTGACGCAAAAACATTTTTATTATCACACATCTACATACTAAGGCCTTTAATTTGAACTCTCATTTTTGAAATTCCTCTTCAAAAATATTCTCAAACTTAAATCTTCTTAAATCTCTTTCATCTCAAATTGTGATACGCATATATTTCAATAAAGTGATGAACGGATTTGAATCAGGTGGTTTGAACAAATGGTAACCCTCCTAGATAAAGGTAAGGAATAAGGCCTTTTCAAACCCATTTTTTAATAATTCATCCAATTTGTTGAATAATTTGAGCGTAACTTTTTAAAGACGTAGCAACCCTCTTCAAACATTACACAGATTTCATAACATTATTTTGTTTGACTACGGTATTTTTATGTTTCATACACTTTTTGTTTTAGTTAATTGAGTAAAACCTTTGAAACAGGTGACAGCCCTCTTCAAAAGTATTTTCAAGATTAATCCTTGTTAACTCTCCTTCGCCGGACATCGTGATATGTATATATTTAATTTAACTGATGAATTAAGTGAAATTTGATTTTTAAAACATGTGGCAACCCCATTAAATACAGTTTCAAAATAGAAAGTTTTCAAACCCCATACGATTGATGCCCATATTTTAATAATTTATTTAACTAATTAAATAATTTGAACTTAAACTTTTTAAACAGGTGGCAGTCCTCTTACAACATCTCAAAAATATTCTTAGCCTTCACACTAAAGATTTCTTAACACTCCTTCGTTTGATCCATATTTTGATATGTTATCTAACTTGTGTATAAGTAAGCTAAACTCGAAATTTTAAGCAGTTGGCAACCCTCTTCAAAATATTTTCACATTCCTACTTTTTGAAACATAGCAAATAAATATGTGTTACGCTATTTGGGTGTGAAGAAAGACGCGTAAACTTATTTTCGTGGTCAACTATGCTTGCGGGCAGTGGTAGTCCTTGGCTAGGTATAAATCTATGCTTACGCGTCTTTATTCGCCGTCAACTAGGTTTGAGCGTCTTTTTTCGCCGAAGTATTTTTCACGCGTCTTATTTCATCAATGCGCCCCTTTTCGCCGTCAAAACAATGGCGCGGCTTTATTCGTGTTTAGTGACGATATATTGATAGATGTGAATATTTCGAATTAATACGATGAAAAAAGAAAACATGTGAGAAAATGCTGATCTCCAATTCGGTTTGAGTGTGAGAGGTGTTTATACACTCTTTTTTTTTTTAACTGTCTGGAGAAATAAACTACCGATCTGAAATTGAGTTTGAGTCAAAATAGGCAATGTACTACACTTTTCCAGCTGGGTTTGTATACCGCTCACATAATCAAAATGTTTGCATTCATAATACTTAAATATACACACATCAGTTTCTCGGCTGATAAGATTGCTGCATTACTGTTATGATGTTGTTATTAAAACCGCGAGCTCATTCGTCTTAACTCACCCATAAACGATTGCTTTATATATCTTTTCTTTTGTGATTTCTTGAACGTCACTTGTTTTATAGAATAGATTTTATAATTTTAATTTGACTAAAATGTTTAATTAATATAGTATTTTTGATAGTAAATAGCTACGTTGAAAAATGTTGAGTATTGGTTTTATATGAATGTGAGTGCAAATTAAAATCAAATCCATAAGTCATTTATCATTTTATTAATTCAGAAAGAAATTGCAACGGCTTCTGACTAAAGTGGAGTTTGCTGACGTAACCTGTAATTCAACTCTATTCTATTCTCTATACCTGTCATAGACATCTAGTAACAATATCATCGTAAATTTAGCACAGGAGTGAAAGGGACTCCCACAGCAACACCTGGAAAAGCGTTTTTTTTTTCAAACTAGTCTCTAAGTTCGTTAATGACATACATATATGTACATGTTTTTAAATGTTAAGCATTCCATTTTCATATTCTGCTGCCGTAGTGAGGATCTGAAATACTAATAAAAAGTAAGGCATCTAGTATGTATGCATGTGCGTATTTTTGAATTTCTAACAGCTGCTGATTCACTCCCTAAATTAAACAAATCCCTCTTTCTTTGAAATGTTTAAAATTTTATTCAAATCGGTATAGACGAAAACAACTTAACACATGATTTATTTTCAACAAAAACGTTTATATGGGAAATACACAAGTGTATACGAAATTTAAACTAGAGTTTCACAATAATGTGTCATCTTACAAGTTCAAGACAAATAGTAACTATTTAATAGGCATACATGTATGTAGGTATGTATGTATGTATGTATGTATGGACATATGTAGTATATCGTCGTAACTATTGCGAAACGCGCTAAATGGCAATATCCAACTGAAACTCGGCAAAAATGTTGTAAACAATTTTAAATGTATCATTGGCAAATATTTCAGGGCTATGGATTATTCAAGAAACTGATTCTTGCTGGTATGTATTCGAGAAGAAAATTACCGCAATATTTAAGGAAACTAGTATCTAAAAATTTGTTTGGGATTTTTGCAGTAATGACGACGATGTACATACATATTTATATACATTAGACTGCATCACAAAAAAAAGTTGTGGTTTTTCCGTCGGGATTAGAAAATTTATTATATTTTAAGACGTCCACCAAAATATATCGGAAAAATTTAAGGTTTAGGTGAGGTGGACTGGTTTGAAAATACCTTCGAAAATTAAGTTTTTTTATGACTAAAAACAGTTTCTTTAAGTATTTTTTGGAAAAATCTCCTTAGATGACAAAACAGTTTAAGCTAAAGAAATCTATATAAAATTGTTAATTATTTTTTTTCAACGGAATCATATTAAGGAGATTTTTGACGTTGTTTTCCGATTTTTTCAAAGATTTGTCTACGAAAAACTTGAATAACTGCTCTAAAACTTTACCGATATAGACTTGTGCGGTATCAGTGGAAAGGTATTTTCTCACCCTTTTTATTTCTTTGCAAAATCACAATTTTTTCTTTATCAAATACAAAGCATCTTAATACAACATGGAGTGACGCTCGTTTATTTTACCTTTATCTTTCATGAATGAGCTTATTTGTAAAGAAATAAAAAGAGTAAGGAAATACCTTACCAATGATACCTCATAAATCTATATCGGTGAAGTTTTGGCTGAGTTATTCAAGTTTTTCTTAAACCAGTTTTTGAAAAAAGTTCAAAACAGCAACAATAAAATATTTTTATGCAAATTAGTTTTTAAGATTCAACTGTTTTGTCAGCTGAGGTGATCTTTTTCAAAAAACTGTTTTTAGCAATAAAAAACTCAATTTTTGGAGGTATTTTTAAATCTATCCAGCTCACGTAAATCTAAATATTTTTCCAAAATATTTTGGGCAAAGTCTTAGAATATAATAGCTTTTATAATTTTAGTAGAAAAACTGTACCGATTTTTTATTTTTTTCGTATGGGGAGTGATGCAGTCTAATATATGTACATACATACATATTAACACAAATCAGTGATGTTGTTTATATGTACTCTTGTAATTTACCTATGTAACAGTTATTAATTTACTAAATGATTTTTGTATTTGGCGTTAAGGTTAGTTCTCCCTTAATTTAGTTTTCTTAAAATATTTTCAGTTATATTTTCATATTAATGAATTGAGTTTTTTTTATTATTAATAAGTATTGATAACAAGTCTTATAGAAAACGAATTAAATTATTAGCATTTCACTTACAGACGTATAAAATACAATATATATTTACATATATAACTAATTCGACTTGGAACGAGGTTTGCGAAAGAAAAATGAAAAAATTGAGTTTTGTGGTAAAATACATATGTCTGTATGTATGATTGGTATCGTATTTGGGTTTGATATTGTTTTGCAAAGCGATGATTGATTCATAATGTCGATATTGTATGTTTTTACGAAATAACCAACAATAAGAAAAAAACAAAACAAAAAAGGAAAAAAGTTATAAAATTTTAAACAACAGGAAATTCACTTTGCGGCAATTCGAAAGATTTAAAGAAAGTAAAGCAGAAATTACAAGTGTTCGATGCTTTTCTACTGTATACTGTTCTACAATTACTTTTCAACAAAGTATACAAAAAAAAAAACATAAAAAACTGGACTTTTCGCCATTCAAAAAATGTGTATAAAATGATTGGGTACATATTTACATATGCATATATATTAAAATAATTTAGTTTTTAGTTTGTTTTAAAATTATTGATTCATGCATATATATTTTATACCAGTTTTTTTTTTTTAATTTATTTTTTTTCTGAAGTATAGTTAGTAGTATTTTGTAGTGGCTTTTATTTGTTAAGTTTGCTGTTTTCATGATCAAGTTTTGTAGTTAAAATCAATGTCGGCAAGTTTGCTTATACATTAATCTCAAGAAGAAAGCATTTCTTAGATTTTTTTTTAAATATATTTATTATAAAATTCATAACTAACACATACAGTTTGAAACAAACAATTTAACAAGACTGGTTCACTTAATGGCTAGTACAAAGATTATACATAAGAAGAGGTAATCAAAATTCAAAACTAAAAAAAGATTTTTGAGATATGCTTCAAAGCTCCTGAGAAAGCTTTAAGCTCAGTTTTTGAAAGTAGCGCAGTTTTAAATGTGGCAATTCTCACCAAAAGATATCGAGCAGGAGAAGCTTTTTATAATTTATATAACTATTTACACGCGTACAAGATAAAATCCCTCTCTGGTCGTCGCTGATGTAGGATGAGCTCTGAAAAAGCTGTATCGTTCAGACTTCGAATATTGATGACAATATTACAAAACCAAACCTGAGTCAATGTATATGTAGCTCTAAAAAAGTGTTGCTTTAAAACAGCAAAGAGCAGAAATAGCTGTAGTAGGAGTGATTTTTCTTTAATACGAAGCACTGCGTAGTCATCGCCCTTTCTACCACCGAGGGGCTCGTCAAAATGATCACAGATGGACCGAAATAGCGATGATCGAACATACCAACAGACCGGTCTGTAATGCCCTGTAGCGTGTACGCGGTAGGAGTTGGATATTTGACGCTTGTCTTATCTGTGTATAACGGTGAAGAACAGCGGCTTTTTAAGCTTTCTTTACAATTCGGAAAATATATGAACGTCAGCTTAGACCGAGTTGCACTGACTGTACTAGTTGGAGGAATATAAATTCATCAAACATACATATGTTTTGAAAAAAAAAAAAAAATCCTAGAGTTGGAATGAGGTGACCCTTTGTGTGTCAGGCTGAGATGTTAGCAGTATAGACCTGCGCCAGAACAAACCTTGAAAATGGTGTAGTCAAGTCGTCAATCCGGCCTTTTCCAGTAAGATGTTCTTCCAAGCTTGTCCAGGAGTTATCTCTAGCTCTCAAATGTGGAAAACATTGTAACACGGCATTGGTTATCAGAAACTACGGCATTAAGAGCAAAAAAGTCTCCAACCAGCGAATTAGAGAAGTATCTTCAACCCCTTGTGTAACCGAAGCTGATTTTTGGTGTGAGTTGGTCTCCTTGGAGGCTTGTAATTAATGACTGGGGAAATGTAGCACACAAGTATTGGAATATGGAAGGCGATGTTAGGCAGGTCGGGATCTTTGGTTATCATTTCGCAAGGAAGGACTAAAATCTTTTAAATATTTAGTGCTGAAATCAAGTTACCGGCTACTTATCTGAATGCATTCAAATTCCTTCACAGGCGAGCTTCTCAGAGTCAAAGCTCAGTTTGTCTAGACTTAACTGAACGTAAGAACACGGCAATGATTACTTCACACGTCAACTTAAGCCAAATGGAAAAATATTTTTTTTTTTGATTCTATTTTCAGCTGATTAACAGTACGCCCGCCGCCTGTAATGTCCCATAAAAATGCATGCGTCTGAATTTTTAATTTTTCTGTCTCTTTCAAATGAGTGTCAGCAGTGCAAATTTACGATTTGGCTACATTTCTAGAACAAATTTAATTTAGATAACTAAAAGCACGATTGATGAACAAAACTAGATAAACGTATGGTTGTATTTTGTATTACGTTTTCCTTTAAGAAATTTTCTTCATGCATATGTATATATGTAATTAAGTAAACAAGTTAAAATAAAAAAATCACTTCCGGCAGACAAAGGGTCAAAACGTCATTGATCTGAAAAAAAACGCCAAACTGACGACGAAATCATCAATTCGGCAACACAGTGTAAAACAGCGATGAGCAGAGAGAGTTTTTACTCTGAGCGCGCTTATAAGTATAAAATTCATAAAAAGCGTGAAAAAATTTCCCTGGCGTTGCTCTATCTCTTCTAACTTTTCTTAGCGCCCTCTGTTCACTTATTCAAATATGCGTTAAAGGCGTCTCCACTAGAAGGCGTCTCCACAAAGCCTTTTAAAAGAGAGCTTGTTGAACTTTTTTTTTTTAACTAGCTAACAAATTAAATATTTATGTATGTACATAAAAGAAAACATAAATTGTTACCCAATCAAATGTTTATAATGTACAAAACCGAAAATAGATTTGTCTATCTTTTTACATAAAACTCAAAAGCGCTTAAGCATTTCTAACATTAACAAGTAATACTTAAATTTATAATGATTTCATTAAACATCATTTAATTATGGAAGGCCCTGTACGTAAACGGCATCTTGTGGCATCTTTACAACAACAACATTTGCATTTAAAAATTGCACTCATAATATCGTTGCCAATTCGGCTAAATGAATTCGCATAATGCTTCTTCTTCTTCTTCTTCTTTTTTAAGATCTTTCCATTTTTCCTATTTTTCGTTTTATATATGTATTTAAAATTAACATTACATACATACACGTTACATTTACAATATAAGAATAATACAATAACAATAAAATTTCTCTAAAAATTTGCTAACGCTTTTCAAATATCATCTGCCTGTACCACTCTGCTTGTTTTTTTTTTGTTTTCTGATTTTCCTTTGGTTTAATCTCTTTAATGGCATAACTTAGTTGCATTATTATTTATTATTATTATTAAGTATGTATGCATTACAAATTTCATTATTATTACATTATATATATAAAAATAAATTAAATTTAGTAATACAAGTTTATTGCATGCTTTGCTTCGTTTGTTATTGTTATTATTATACTTGTTGTTGTTTTGTTTGCGTTTAAAGTACTTCTGTGTAACTGTGGTAGCTTACTGCTTAAAATGTCCTTAATATCCTTGCAACATAAATATCGCTTGGATGCTCGCTCGCTTGCTATTGCTCATTTTTTTTTTAAGTTTGCTTTCAAATCTACATTTTATCTATGCCTGCATATGTATGTATTTATGTTTGTATGCATTAATGCTTGTATGTATGTAAGTATGCTTCTATGCTTGTAAGTATGTATGCAAGTGTTGCTTCAAATGTTGCCTGGATCTTTAGCCAAAGTTTATATATGATTGTTTTTGTTATTTTGTTGTTCAATTGTTTGCTTTCTTTTTGTATTTCTAATTTTTCTATCTTTTTTTTTCTGCTAGTAATGACTTTAACTATTTTGTTGCTTTTTCTGTTAACATTCGTTCTGTTGCCTACTGTAACTATGTGTTTGACATCTCTGCGCAAGGTGCAAATTTTATTTCATTTTTTCATTATTCATTTTTGTTTTTTTAAGTTTGGCTCACTTGTGTCTATTAAATATATGTATTTACTTGCATAGTATGAGTTTTAAGCCTAATTATGATGCATACGTAGCCTCTAGCTTTAGTGAGTTAATTTGCCCTTTGTTTGTGTTAAGAGAATTTTAAGATGAAATTCTACTTGGAGAAAATTGTTACCAGATTTTTGTTTAGTTTTTATTTGTGTTTAGATTAGTTACACTATGTATTTGTGAAAGTTGATAATCTCAGCTAAGTAATTTCAACAACAGCCTTGTTCAGCTGGCGGCTGATTCAATAAAAACCGTTTTTTTTTTTTCAATGCTAAGATCATTTTAATCCTCGAACATGAAGAATTTTTATACTCCAAAGATGAAAAAAAAACGTCCAAAGCAAAATCATTATGATGATTGAAATTTTTAAAGTTAATTGAATTTTCGGCGCAATTTAGTTCAGATAAAGTCCTAACTCCGTCCAGCCTCAGTGTTGATTTTTCAAGTAAAGATCGTTCTGCCAGAAAGTCTTTAAAAATAAATTGGCACAAAAAAGTGTACACAATTATTTAACAGCATGGGAATATGTTCTGGTCGTGGATATAGGCGGCAGTGGTCCGCCGTATTATTAAAATTACTTCACAGAGTGCTCTGAAGAAGGGATGTCGGAAAAGCATCGATATATCGAAAATATCGATTTTTTGCTTCGATGCATCGAAAACTTTCCACTCGATGTACAAATAGGCGATGAATCGATGTTTTTTGAAAACTCACATCTCTAGTATATTGAACCGTCATTTCGGTTTGTTAGTTGTACAAAAAGAGAAGTGAGTTTGTCTAAATGATTGTAATGACTCCAAAAAGTTCCGTTAGAAACATAATTAACTCAGTTGCCGTTATTAATGTGAAATTTTGTACAATTTTGCTAATAACATATTTTGTTGTGAAGTAATATCTGAAAAATTCTATGCAAATCGATGTATGCCCTTCGATGTATCGAATTAGAGAAATACGTCGATGTAATTTTGCCATTGACAGCCTTACTCTGAACCTAAGCGAACTGGGAGAGAGCTTCTTTGTAGACATAAGCGCATTTTATACTCCTTTAATAATCCTTTTATGTCTTTTGGTATCAAATTCGCCATTAAATTACCTTGGTAGAAATATTGGAAGCCATAGATTTTGTTGAATGCGTCTCGCTGGCGGCGAAGCATGTCTTTACCGTATATCGTCTGAGATTAAATATCACTTTTATTCGATCATCCCGTTGGCTATAAAGGTCCTTGGCTTTGTGACAACCTAGTAGAGATTGTCTTCCGGTGTATTGTGGTTACAGCTTTAGCCTATAGACATAGCGTTGCGTTGTTATGGCGACGGGGGTTCGCAGCATTCATGACAACAAGATGACTGAGGAGTTAGCCCGGAACGGGCCTCTTTCTACTTCGGAGTTATGTATATTAAGAATTTCTCAGCACTTGCCAGATATGGCATAGGTAGCCTCGAACGAGTCGGCTCTTGATACTTCTGGGGTTCTGGGTTGTATTAAGGGCCAGATTTCTTGGAACTGGGACCTCCAAACATGCAGTGTGTGCAGTTGCGAATTATTGTTAATTAAAAAAAAAATAGTGGTTTTAGAAATTATTTTTGTTCATCTGGGAAATTTACTACTAATAAAGTTAATCAATTAATTTGGTTAGCATAGGAGAAATCCGGTTTCAAAACAATTGTGGGTACCCATTTAAATTACGAGTACACTTACCAATTTACGGTAGCGTACAAACCTTCAAAAAAGTCTCTTATAGGCATAACATCAAATTTAATTAGCTGAGACATCAACAATTCGATTACTTAGCTGCGCAGCTTGTATACATGTAAGTATAGACTCGAATGTATGTAAAGAATGGTTTTCACTATGCCAAAATTTGGTCGACATATTTTGACACAACTTTATCTCTTTCATCCATACCTTAGCCGGTGATATTATGGACCAAAAACGTACATATAGCCGACTTGACACAACCTTTCAAGATCTAAATCAATCGATATACGGTTTTATTGATCCCATTTGACAATACGCTTTCATTTACATATTTAACGATAAACGCCATTGAATTTGACATAGTGAAAACAAGCCTTAAGAGTGTGCTAATCGTTCATTTAATTTAGCTATTGATTTCTCTAAATTTATTCTTAATTTTGAGATATTTCAAAACTTTTTGCACTTTTTTCATTCTTTGAAACGGTTCTTTTGCTCTTTCTATGAAATACGAGCAAATTTTTATTATTAATTTTTAGTTTATGTTAATTTATCTTTTTTGTTTATGTAGGATGTTTTGCATGCTTTTCTAACTAAGTATATATGTATATATGTATTTATGTATCTATGTATGTCTGTATGCAGTTTGTGGGGTTTTGGTTTTGCTTTTATTTAAAGGAAAGTAAGTATATATGCAAGTAATGTAGTATGTAGTCATCAGCGTCATCTGACTGTTGTTGTTGTTTGTGCTCCTTAGAATCCTTGGATGACTCCGTATGCTTCCAAAGTGCTCATTATTAAGTAGACCAACCACAGACTGAAGAAAATGGCGCTATGTATGTACTTTTGTGGTGATGGACCGCCCAGTTCACCACCTATTGACTTCTTACGTCGATACATTATCAGGAACATGGCAATCACGGCTCCCGATAGGAAAAGTGTCACGGAGAAAGCCAAGCTGTGAACAGAATTGGAGTTATTTCAAATCTTACTTAAAGTATTCAATTAAGTTTTATTCCCAACGTTTATTTTTTACGCTGCTTGATAAGAGTTATTTTGCAACGTTTATTTTTTTGTGTTGTCTGGTAAACGTTGTAATATTAGGATATTGATGAAGGTGGAGATGGAGAACAAGATAAAGATGATGAAATAAAATTGAGAAAGTGAAATAACTCTTATTCGACAAAGTAAAAATAAACATCGGGCAATAACTGTTATCAAGCAACGTAAAAAATAAACGTCGCGAAATAACTCTTATAAAGCAACGTAAAAAATAAACATCGCGAAATAACTCTTATCGGCAACGGAAAAAATATTTCTCGTTTAATAACTGTTATGAAACAACGTTTTCGTTAAATTTCAGAATTTGTAGTTCGAATCGGTAGTTATTTTGTTCGAACTCAAACGATTGGTAGCAAAACAGAGTTAGGCGTTCAAATAGAACTTCTTTTCGATTCGAACTACAGAGAAAGGGCCCAGCTCTACAGAGCTTCTAAGCTCTACAGCACATACCTACTCTATTCCTTTTAACAGGACTACAGTGTAAATCAGCTCTGCAGCACTCATCAGCTAAGCAGTGCTAACTAACAGCGTTAACCAACAACTCTAGGCTGTGTTGCCTCGACAACAGAGTGTCATAGCTCAATTGTGCCACCTCGCTGAGCTGAATCATTAGAAGGAGCTTGAGTCATTGAGCTACCTCGCTAAAATTCAATGGGTTACCCAGCCCTATTAAAAACTTACGAAGGTTTATAGTTTTAAAACCATGATCACCAAACCATGCCACCAGGTCATGTGCAGACGTAAATCTGTAGCGGTATGTCAGAGGTCAACACATTTTCATTTGCAGGAACAGTCAGGCTGCTTTAAAAGTCATATTTTCATATGTAATTAAATCACGCATGATATGGAAATGTGTAGGGAAATTGAACTCCCAACGGGGGAATGGAACAACCGGGCCTGACTGACAGACTGGAAAATAAAGCAGCCAGATATTCGGCTTATTGGGCCCTGAACCCCTTCTTACTATGAGGGCTGCTTGGAATGAGGCACTGGGAGAATTCACACGGGCTACAGCAGCCCAAAGGTTTATAGGAAGTTACTATTCAAAAAGATTTAGGAAGCTAATCATTTTCCCAAAGACAAGCTTAAGAAACATAGCAGTTGTATTGACGTTTCATTATAGGCCACGAGTCTACATTAACACCCTAGGGACACCTGTCGTTACTGCTATACGATGGCAGAAAGAAATAATAAGGCAACAAAATTTGGGTGGCTGAGACCAGAGTATACCTATATTCAGCCGTTACCACTTCTCAAACTGCTGGATTTTATTGGGATTATAGGGCTAGGCGAGGTCTTGTGGTTAGTTTCGAGGGCACAATAGACTTGAGCTCCGCAATTAATTTTTTCACCAGAAGTCATTTGTCGTTTTACGGCGGTTTTTAGAGTGGATCAATACACTAAACTGGGTGGTAAGTTATAACAACTATCCTGGTTTAAAATAATATCTTTAATTAGCCTCTCGTAATAAAATTAAATGAAATAAATTAGTTTAATAAAGCATTTCACGCTTTCATCGCTAAAAATTACACTGTAGGGGCGCTAAAATGACACTAAAAAACGCCGAGACACGTAAACTTAATTTTGAACCGTAGATTACGGATCTGTACACGGTTTTTCTAGGTGAGGTTATTTTCATTACATGAGTATGTATTTTAGTTTTAAGTTTGTTTTGTCAATGAAAAAAAAATCTAACTTTAAGAGGACATTTTTTTTTAATATGGTCGTACATGGCGTATGAGTGACATTTTTTTCTGCTCATATTTTATAAAAAAAAAAATATTACACATTTTCATTTGACTATTCAACACTTTTTTATTTGAGGCAAGTTTTCTCAAGTGGGCCACCCAAATTTGACTTTTCGATTTCCTATATTTCACACTTTTTGAAATATTTCAGCAACCATTTTTTCGAATCTTATCATTTTATGACGGCAATTAGAGAACTTATTGGGCAACAAAATAAAGTGGTGAGTTTGTAAAATTTCGATTCTTCAGTTATAAAAAATTGAATTTTCTTAATCAATTTAATTTTTTACCAACTACTGGAATAAAAAAAATTACTCTACCTTTGATTGACCGACAGCTTTTTACCAAAAAAATTAACCAGGTTTAAAAAAATATAATACAAATGAACTGAAAAGAAATGCAAAACAATAAAATTTTAAAACTTAAGTATCAAATCAAGAATTAGCCAAAAATCGCATGGGATCTTTATGAATTCTTTAAAATTTCTCTACAATTCAGAATATTTACTCTGAAAAAATGGTTTGCAGGTAAAGAACAGGTTTTAATACAAATGGAAAATTTTACAAAACCTTTTTTTTTATTTTATTTTTCTGTTATAATTTAGTTTTTCATATAAATTAAAATATCTTGGGAAAATTACCTAAGCTAGAAAAACGATTACAGATACATATGTACGTGTTTTGGTGTTTCTTGTGTCATTTAAAAGCTTGAGATTTTCCCCACAGTGTAATTAGTACGTGGGTGCATACATATATGAACATATGTATGTATGTATGTACATATAAAATCTTTTGACGTAGAATACGTCTTACCTTAAGGTATGGGGGCTATGTTCAAATGTTGTAGTTGTAATTTTTAGAGCTTCACAAAAACGCTTATTGCACGAGAACTAATAAAGCGATTTCAAAGAAAAGTATGACGTTTCAAAGATAAAATTCCAAACCTGTCGACAGATTCATTTTTGTAAATAACCAATTCGGTGTCTGTCGTAAAAACAACGGTAAACATTGCCTTATTTTGGGGTCAATTTTGAGCCTTTAAAGTGCTCTAGCAACTTATTGTTGGCATATATAACTTTCATTTTCGGGATATAGGTTCTTTGGAGCAGTAGAAATATTATCGGGTACAAATTTTATATAAATTTAACAAATATTGAGCATTTTAAGGCAAAAAATTGTTGAAAAAATTTGCAAATTTTTTTCATTACCAAAATGCTCGAAAACCGCTCGAATGATTTTGTTTTTGTTTTCTTTAATCAAAAATTCAAGAGTTTTCCTTTCGTTTGGTATATGGGAAGTATTGGTTGATATCTTCTATATATGTTTATTTCTGTGTTCGTATGGAAAAGTAGCTTATGTCGAAGGGCTGGATTTAGTATAAATCGGCATTCGCAGCATGCGATTGCAAATGACTCACAGGCACTGAGCCGTTGAACAACGTTTGACAAATAAACGTGCCAGAAATAGTTCCGATACTAGCAAGTCAATATTCTTGTTAAATCTCATCGAAAAATTTCTTGTCGTTTAAAGAATGAAGGGAATGCCGCATTGTACTAAAGCCAGCCTTTCGACATAAGCTACTTTTCCATACGAACACAGATTTTATTCAAATATATGGGCATAAATGATTTTCCATACAAAATCACCTCGTCATCATTTTGCAAACACGTGCATATGTTGGAAGTGTGGGAAGGAGACAAAAAGTATGTATGCGTATGTAATGCGGCTTTTGATAAACAGAGGCGCGCTATTTATAACCTAATCGCAGCGTGTGTACATATGTAAATACATACATACGTACATATGTTGATTGCAGTTAATGTGGATCTGTTTCTATTCTTAGTGTGTGATTTCGTTTTTGACTTGGATATGCTCTTAACCATACCACGTATTCTACGTTTAAATATAGCGGATGTATCTCCGATACAGCCTGCAGACCAAGACGAAGGCGCTGGACTGTTCCTTTTTTCTTTACTTAGCTAGGTACTTACGTGCCCGCCTCCACTCTAAAGGCGCGTCCATGCGATTCATGGTATATGGCTGCCATGGTCCACGCCACGCCAATACCTAGGAAGACATTCACTGCATTACTACCCGTCACATTGCCGATACTCGCATCGGCGGTCTTGTCTTGTATGGCAGCCACTTTGCTGGCGAACGTATCTGAAATTTAATATTCATATTTTGCACATATTTATTTTCGCAATTAAGTACGTAAGCATGTGCATTGCGCTGAACGAGCAAAAATATATTTACCGGGCAAACTGGTGCCGAGCGCCACAAAACAAATCGCTGTAACCGCATCCTTAACGCCGAGCGTACAACCGAAATGCGATGCCACATCACCAATTAGTGCTGTCACCATACCGATGCCACATATCGAAACAACAAAGCATAGATAACCGTTGGCAATATCTGGATATTTATGGCGTTAAAATTGTGAAACAAAAGAAGAAATCCAATTAAGCACAATTACTTAAACACATACAGTGTAATTCGAAAAGCTATTGGGGATTGTTTTTGTGACTTACCTGTTGGGGGTATGAATGCGAAAATAAGTTTCCAGAAGATTGTTAGGAAATGCAAAATGTAATCGAAGCAAGAGGGCGACTGTGGCTCATCATCCTCACCACCTTCGCCATTGCCATCATCATCATCGCCTGAAAATAGAGAAATGAATTATTGAGGAGTCGGCAATTTGCATTAATCGAGTTCCATGTTGAACTTATAGGTGACCTTAAGACGGTCTTACATAATTTATATATGTTGAGTTTTATTTTTTTTTATTTTTTTACCTCGACACTATAAGAACTCATTATGTTGATCAGGATAGATCTACGTTCTATTAATATACTTATGCCTTTTTGATAACCAACGGGATGGCAACGAAATTTTCAGAGTTTCCGAGAAATGATTTTAGAGTTTCGTAGAGGTTTCTTTGAAGGGCAGTTCATAGCGTAGGACATGATTAACCTATTGGTCATAAATGCAGTGGGCTTGTTAGTATTTCTACCGCCCCATGTATGCCCGCATTTGAAAACTCAAAGGGTTTGACGTTAAGTTTTGATCGAAGAGAACCCGAAGCCAGTACTGTTTACATTACACCGGTTAAAGACCTAATTATAAGGATGCCTATACAATTTCCTACCAGAAAAGAACAGGACTAAGGGCTACCACAGGCTGATAATGGTTGGTCTAAAGATGTAGAAAGGAACCGACGCCGGTATCTACTGCGATAACCGATAGGCGGCTTCTATTTGGTTAAATTCAGCTCAAGTATTCTAATTTTTTCAAACCTAGCTGTAATGTTGAATTATCTGGAACATATGGGGCGAAATCCGTTGTGTCAATTCCTGTGCGGACTGCTTCGACAGAAATCTGTTTAAATTCAATTACGAAGTTAATCCGTTTTTGGGTCATTCTAGAAGGGGTGTGAAAAAAATCGTTCGGGAAAAACAGGAACAGACCGAAGGCAGCAATTGGTGACGATTTTATATCAAAATCTAATGTAGACAATGTTTAAGAGGCTAAGAAGCTTTAAGAGAGACAATCGGCCCCCAGTGGTCTGGGAGCGCCAAAACAGCACATTTGCGAGATGGTTAGAAAATGGAAATTGACTATATTTTAGATGAGGTGGATAATTAACTAAAATTCTTCAAGAGTGTTGGTTTTGAAAACACTGAATCTAATTTGTTTTATAACTATGGGAAGAGCCATGCAATAAATAACCTAACTACCCAGTTTGTAAGCAAGAGGGAGATAACTTTTAAGTTTTTTATCCTGTTCTGCCGAATCGATCTGGATGTGGTTTTTGTAAACAAATTTTGAAATAAGTTTTAAATTTTAGTTGTTATGTTTCTAGGGCCAACAATAGTTTCTCAGTAGTTTCTGAAATATTGCATTTTTCTTTGGTCAAAGGAGTGGAACTACTTTGCACCAACGTGCGCCGTGGAGTTATTGGGATTACAACGTTCACTAAAACCTAGGTAAACTGTTTGAAATAAGTTCCAGTTGCTAGAACCTGCTAGTCTTGTATTAATCTTCCAAATCTTCTATCGCAAAAGGTAGTAATCGTGATACAATTTGAATGGAATTGACCGAAGAAATAAAAATTATAGAAAACTGATTTTAATAATGCTTTAAATGCTAAAAAAAATCATAATAAGTAGTGACTATTTTGCTGTTCGGAACAGACTCTGCATTCATTTATCTAATACTTAGATTCTAAGTGCATATGTCTTTCTCCATCAGGATGATATTTTTAGTACACAACTTAATTGAAATTAACATGCTTGCATAACAAAAATAAACATTTCTACTTCCCTGGCCTAAATTTTCTGCTATTTACTTTTATAATAAACACGTCTTACCTGGAGTCACTGTTAACGCATCCGCAAATTGTTCCTTCCATGACGAAGTACCAATCAGAAGTGAGGCATTCGCCCTTTGCACCAATTTATCCACAGTGTTCTGCGAAAGAGGAAAAAATTTAATTAAAACAATACAGCGGATGTTTTTTGTTGAGCTCAATTAATTTTATTCACCTTAAATTCCTTACTCTCCTTGATGCGCAACTCAGCACGCACCACCTCACCCAATTTGGGACGACCCAATAACGCCATCTTATCCTCCTCCGTCAGCTCCTCGGGCGCTTTCTTCTCTGCAGCTTCAATGAGTCCTACCATTTCATCGTCTGTGGAGATGCCACAACAACAACAGCAGCAGCAGTGGGTGTTCGCGCAGACGAAGGAGCATCAATTTTATGCAGCAGAGTGAATAGCAATACATTTTGTTTGTTTTAATAAGGACATAAATAAGTACGAAAAGGTGTGTTACACACAATTAAGACGGAACACATTAAAGAAATAGGGGCATTCACGCAGCTGTATTGCATTCATGTGGAAAATTCTTTGAAAAAGTTTAGTTGAAATTTTATACCCAGTACCTACATATGTATGTAGGTATCAGCCATATCAATAGTATCCCATTTCAAAGTGATATTGTTTGCCACTTATGTTTGTTCGTTTTAAACATTGTGGGAAACTAAAATAAATCCAACAAATTTTCATCCAAATTTCAAACTTTTTTCTTAGAAGTGTTACAGTTTTATATAATAATCCGTTTTAGCATAATAATCCGTTGATGTTTTAGAATAAACGAAATTTATTTTTATATGGAAGAAAACCGCAACAACTGGCTCAAAAAAAAAATCTAAAAACCCAACGGTAATTTTAAGCCACTTCACACTTTATTACACTAAAATTAAATGGGCTATAAAGTTGGGGGCCAATGGTTCTATGAAACTGTGAAGTGGAAATGAAAAATGCAATGTCAGTGAAAATTTAATTTTTTCATTGTATCGTTTCGATAGCTATTCCATTAACATCTAGCAAGTAATTGTTTGCTAAATTATGGCAATGATATTATTTATCACAAGGTGGTGGTTTTGAGAAAAACGCCCAACTCTTCTTTTTCACAGCCACAAAACTTTGTGGAAAAAAGTTTTCACAGTGAAAAAATTTTGATGTGTGATGAAAATGTTTTCACTTCACGTTGTGAGAAAAAAGTTTGAAATTTGGATGAAAATTTGTTGCATTTTTTTTTAGTTTCCTACAAATGTCTTAACTTAATATGCTACCATGAATGCGCCTATGTTAATATTTGAATAAATATATATTTATGTTTTCATGTTAACAGAAAAATTTTGTTATTTATTTTTGTCTAAAGAATGTGACAACGATTTGGTAAACATGTAATCACAACAACAAAAAATGTTAATGCACAAAGACAAACAAAGAAAAGAAGTCAACAAGTTCACTCACTCATTGCTTTTGATTGACTTGTTGCAATATTAGCGAAAAGCCAACACGAAAAGCCGATCCAGCTGACAGATAAACACATTTACAAATGTATGAATGCAAATTTCAAGCTCAATAAAAACAACACAAAAAAAAAGAAAACAAATGGCTCCAAATAGAATTCAGTCGTGGGTACTTACACGTTGAGGCATGCAACATGGCATTTTACTTCTACACACACACAGACAGTATACATACCATGTGTACATATAAAAGTACACATCTTCAATATACATACAATACAAAGGATAATTACATAGCGGAAGAAATTCGTAGGCAAATAATCATGCAGAGACAGAGTGTGACGGCTAGCAAGGTGTGCGGGAGAGTAGCAAGCGAGGATGGAGCAGCGGCAAGCGGCACTATGTAGAATGTTTGACATTAAAAAGTTTTGTCAACATTTGAAGCCGCATGTAATTGGATTGCATGCTCAAGCACTTATTAAGGCAGAGAAAAGATACGCTTTTTTGTTATTATTTATTTAATATACTCTTTTTTATTTAGTATTTGAATTAAAATGAAAAGTTTTGTTTAGTGTCCGACCAAACATTTAGGCTCGGCTTGGGTAATCGAATAGTTAGACCTATTAGTTTTCGGTCGTTTATAGATCATAATAATAAAATTATTGTAAATATTAATAAGTTTAAAAGTTTATACTGAGAGACTCTGATATTTACCAAATTTAGTTTTATTAATAAAAAAGGGGTGAAAAAAATTGATCTCCAGCTTCTCCAGCTTAATTTTTGATAAATAGCACAAATATTTGTTTAAAATACTAAACCACGAAAACATCCTTCTAGATTAGGGCTGCCATACGTTCTGGCTTTCCAGGATTTGTCCTGGTTTGAGAAAAATGTCCTGGTTTCCTGGTCCACATCTAAATTGTGTTGCTTTTTTTTTTACTGAAGTTCAATGCAGACGCCAATTTAATTTTTGGCAGATTGGTGGCTAAGAATTCGCGTTGACAAAGTAGTTGCGTTCCCTAACTCGCAAGAAGTTGCAAGTATTTCCAGGAATTTACCAGAAAGCGTTCCCGTACTCGGTTCTCTGGCAAAGTAGGTGAAAAATGAAAGAGTAAAATCGGTACTCTCTTTGTCAGAAGTTGCAAGATTTTACCCGAAGAATTTTTGCTGGTAAAATCTGGTAAAGTATCAAACCATCAGCTGTTCAAACGCTTTGAAAGTTGAATAAGCAAAAACAAAAGTACATCTGAATTTTCACCCTTTAAATATATCATATGAAATATGATGTTTTTCTTTAAGTATTTTTGTTAATTTGCTTGTGTATTTGCATATAATTTAGCAGTTTGCCAAATGATAAAAAGCTGCTATGCAAACAAAAAATGGCGTCCACGGTTTATTTGACAGTTTTACCAGTTTTTACCTGAAAAGCGTTCGCGTACTTTTTGGTTTTTTTCTCTTTCTCTGAGGGCAAATTTGCTTTTTGGCAGTTTTGCTGGTTTTATCCAGAAAATTTGAGGAACGAAACTAGTGTTTACGTGTTCATTTTATTTTTTTTTTAATATTCACATCGTTTTTCAAGTAAAATTTATTTGGGTCTTTTTCTATATCAATCAGAGTTTTGAACGCGCTCGGGTATAAAAAAATTACAACAGAACAAAGGATCCCGTAGAGCAAAGAACTTATTTTGAATGCTGCGAATAGTATGCAAAAACATACTCAAATTGAGTTTAGCAAGCATACACGCTTTTTATGAAGTCTCCGGGTTTGTGTGAAAATCTTATGGAAAATTAAATTTTTCTGGTAAGTTCGAGCGTCGAAGCTTAAATCCAAACAACTATTTACTTATTTGACCAGCAACGTTGCGAAAACTTTAAATTGTTTATGTGCAAAGTGTTTTATGCTACAATCATTATTTTATACTAAAAAAAAAAAAACAAAACGAATAAACTGTGTTGCCTTAAAACTATAATGTACTATGCCGTACAGTCTTATCCATATTTAATGCTCTTTTTTGTTGATTTATAGCTTTCCTTAGTTATACATTCAAACAAAATTTAGTTGTTGCTGACACTAATCACGGACATTTTTAAAACCATTTCGACGAAAAGTTTAGGGTATTTATATATACTAAAATGTGTTTGTATGTATGTAAATATAATTTGATTTACTTTTATTTTTCTTGCTGTTAAGTGCACAACAGACGAAACTAATTTCAGTTGGTTAAGTTTCATTAAAATGGGAAACACAAATAAACACGAACAAATTGGGCGGAAAATCAAAAATGAAAAATTTTAATTGCAAATTGTGGTTGTCGGTTAAGCTACGAAATTCGTATAGCATGAAATTTACTTACAAAATTTTGATGAAGTTTTGATTGTACAAGGCAAGTGCAAATCGAATCAAAAAGATTACAGTGGTACAGTTCGTTGATAGAAGTTTGTTTTTGGTTTTTGTTTTTGTTTTTTTTTTTTAATTTTAATAATAATTGATTTTCATTTCAGTTGTGTGTAGGATAGCATTGCAGTTTTGTTGATCGTTGTAATTGTTTTTACCAAAAGTTTATTTACACGTTTTTTTTAACGAAATATTTTTGTTTTGTAAAAATGTAAACAGAAAGTAAACATTCAAATTAAAACATCACATTTATATTTCGTTTACAATTTACATCGTTTTTTTGTTTTATTTTTCAAATGCAAATTGTTGTGGCAAGCGAAAAGGGAAGAAAAAGCAGCAGCGATTGTGGATAGAAGCCGCAGAAGCCGGATGAGGTAAGATGTAATAAATTGTTTTTTTTTTTTGGTTTTTTTGCATATGTATGCGTAACGTTGGCATAATGTCATTTGTTGTTGTTTATGTCGACAAAATAATGGTGATAATAAGCAGTTAACGATGACATCCGTTGTTTAATGTAGTTTAAGGAATTTATAGTTGTCGCACGTTATTTGCAATTCAGTCGGCGTTGCGAAAATGGAGGCGTTCACACAACGAAGAATGTGTCCAATATAATTTTGAAATACAGCAATTTAATAGAAATTCAAAAATAAAACGCTTGCGCAAATTTCGTGTGTAAAATTTCACATTTACATGCGTTGATAATACAAATTTCATTCCATTTACGAAGTAATTCTACATTTCAGTAAATTTTCCTATACACTGGATCCGCTTATTGCGCGGTCTTTTTGCACGGCTTTTTTCAATAGCTCCCTTTTTACTTCATACTTTTTTACGCGTTCTTCTTGTCATCAGAAACGCCAAGAAGAACGCGCACAAAAACTTTCAGCAATATGTGGAAAATTAGTTTCATATGTACAGAAATAAACCAATTTAAATATATGCGTAAAATTAAAAAAAAAAATACCAGAGACTCATGATTTTTGTTTAATGCTGACAAGGAATCACAGCCGCCAATTCTTTTGCTTCGGCCTAATTTTGTTCTTAACGTAGAGCTTTCTAATGCCCCGAATAACCGCGTAAAAAGAGAATCAAGTGTAAGATTTGATATTACTACTACAGAATTAGTCACAATAGCTTTACTCCGAAATTGTACGGCACGCATCTGTGCATGCACATTAGGGTGGTCCAACATAAGGAAAGTCGGAATCGCCCTAGGATTGTTATATAAAGATTTTTTATTTATCTCCCCATTGCATTTTTTTTAGCATTTTTTAGGGCGGACCTATAAAATATAGTTACTAAGAAAAAATGGTAAAAGAAATAACTGGAAATCTCCTGAAGAGAAAAAAAGTTTTTCGGTAGAAAAATATTGATTTCCAACAATTCTATACAATTTCTACGAAAAGTTATTTTTCCCCATATAAAATACATGCAGAATTTTGAACTTTTTGAGCTACCTCTACATATATTTTGATTAA